CACGTGGACCTGTGAATTTTATAATACATTTTTAATCAAATTGCTCATGTAGACAGGAATGCCACCAAAAAATATTTGCCCAGGACTCTACACACCGTAGGGGTAACAGTGAAATGGGATTTTGGCTGGAGTGAGGACCCTTAAGAACTTTCTGCATGGTTCAGATCATTAATGTACTCAGCAGCTAACAGAAAGCTTGGAGGTTCGAGTCTACCCAAAGGTACCTGGGAAGAAAGGCCTGGTGGTCTACTTCCCAAAAATCAGCCACTGAAAACCCTATGGAGTACAGTTCTACTCTGACATGCATGGGTAGCCATAGGTTGAAGTTGGCTCCATGGCAACTGGCTTAACTGGTGAAGATCCTTAGGGAGAATTATAAGACAGAGATTTTCACAGTAAAACATTTAGAAACTCAGCTGAAACATAAAGGAAAAGATCTATATTCAAAATATGCAAGAAAAATTGGCAAAGACATCTCAGTATTATGCTTCAGGGTATTTTTTTGATTTTCATTTGTAAAGTATTAGAACCAAAAGTGAATTTAAAAAGGGAGGCTTTTTTCTTTGCACTTAAATTAACACCAAGATTTATTTTGAGGTTTTTTTTTTTGGTAATATGCAAATAATGATTTTTTTTTTGTGGTCTACTTATAGTAATTGCCCAATAGAGTAAAATGAAAATAAAATATGTTCAAGGACTTTTAAAACTAAATAATAAGGTGTTGAGATTTCACAAGGCCAAATCTCTGTGTAAATATTTGGTTCACTGAGTTAGATAAATAAAATAGTTTCATTATCTACACCCATGTTATGGGAAAAACTGAACATTTAGGGGAAATCATGAATTAGTTCACATGCCAAAAAACAAAACAAAATTTTCATTCTTCCCACAAAGAACACACTCAGAACAATATCAAATTCCCCCATCAAAGTATAAATCATTACACATTGTGGAGGAGTAAGACAACTTGGCGATATCTGTCCAATATTTTAATGATCTTACTCTTTGGCCTAGCATTTCTATATTTAGTAACTTATAAAAATTATTTTCACAAATCCACAAATATGTATGTGAAAGTATATTTATTGCATTTCCACTTGGTTGTCTTAATACCCACTGCCTTCGAGTCGATGCCAACTCATAGCGACCCTACAGGACAGAGTACAAGTGCCCCACAGGGTTTTCAAGGCTGTAATCTTTACGGAAGCCAACTGCCCGGTTGTTCAATAGACACCTCAAATTAACATATCAAAATCAAACTCTTGCCCACCCACCCCTCCAACGCCCTTCGCACTCAGTACTGAAGTCATTCCTGAGGTTCACCCTTCAGTCAAAGATTAACCTAACCTAACCCATTGCCATCGAGTCGATTCCGACTCATAGCAATCCTACAGGACAGAGTAGAACTGCCCCATAGAGTTTCCAGGGAGCGCCTGGTGGATTCAAACTGCTGACTTTTTGGTTAGCAACCGTAGCACTTAACCACTCCATCACCAGGTTTTCCGTGTTAAAGATTAGACAGGCCCGTAAAACAAACACTAGTACACACAGCTCAACCATGTATAGGAGACTAAACGGACACACGAGCCCAGGGGCCAGGGCGAGAAGGCAAGAGGGGACAGGAAAGCTGGATGAATGGAAATGGGGAACCCAAAGATGAGAAGGGGAGTGTTGACAGGTCGTGGGGCTGGCAATCAGTGTCACAAAACAATATGTGTATTAATTGTTGAATGAGAAACTAATTTGCTCTGTAAACCTTCATCTAAAGCACAATCAAAAAAAAAAAGTTGAATAGAATCAATTTGTTTGGGAATTTCAATTTTTTTCCCCATACATGAACTTAGATAAACTTCACCTAAGGCACTCTCCAAATTATCATAAATTCTGATGAATAAAATTCAAATGACTGAAAAAAAAAATGTTCACACACGCAAAAAAATCAAACTCTAGATTTTATCCCTCTAACTCCGAAGCACTACCCTTTCAAAACCTACTTATTCTTCCTCTTTCCCCAATTCAGTAAATGGCAACTCCATCTTTCTAGTTGCTTAGGACAAAAACCTAGGACTCATTCTTGACTGCTCTCTATTACCCCTCTTTCGATCCGTCAGCAAACCCTGTGTGTTGTGCTTTAAAAATATATACTGGATCTAAGTGTTTATCACTGCTTCTTCTGTAGCCATTCTAATCAGTTCCCATCATCTCTCTTCTGCATTATTGAAACAGCTTCTTAACTGGTCTTTCTGTTTCTTTACTTACCACTCTACTGTAATTCAAGTTGGGTCATTACCCAGCTCAAAATCCTCTGATGGCTTCCTCCTTACACTCAGAGAAAATCAAAACTTCTTACCGTGGCTTATATGTCCCCAGTAGTCTGGTTGCTGCCTACCTCTCTTAGCTATCACCTATAACTCTACCCACTAGCAACTCCACTTTGGCCTTCATTCTGTTCCTCAGAGAGGTTTGTTCCTTCCCCAGGGTATTTGCACCTTCGAGCTACGGCTGCTAACCGAAAGGTCAGCAGTTCGAATCCACCAGCTGCTCCTTGGAAACTCTATGGGGCAGTTCTGCTCTTTCCCGTAGGGTTGCTATGAGTTGGAATCCACTCGACAGCAATGGGTTTTTGCCTCTGCCTCGAGTTTCTTTCCCTAAACTTTCATGACAAGCCTTCACTTCATACATATTTCTGTCCAAAAATGTTGCTTCTCAAAGTTCTTCCCTGAATCTATTATTTTGAATACTATCTGCCCGTAATGTTTGTAATCTGTTTGTTTTTTGTCCACTTACTAAAATGTGAGCTCTATTAAATAAAGAGTTTGCCTTATTCGAGAACTTTGGCTGGCACTCACTAAGTATTTTCTGAATAAGTAAACAAACTGAGAAAAATTGGAAACCACCTAAAAGCCTACTACACAAGAATGTTTAACTATATTATGATAGAGACATAAAATGTAGTACTGTGTCCCCAGGAGCCCTTGTGGTGCAGTGGTTAAGAGCTCGGCTGCTGACCAAAAGGTTGGCAGTTCGAATCTACCAGCCCCTCCTTGGAACCCTGTGGGGCAGTTCTACTCTGTCCTATAGGGTCACTATGAGTCGGAATCGACTGACGGCAATGGGTTTTTGGGGTTTACTGGGTAACTATCAAAAAGGATGAGGACAAACTCTACATACTGAAACAAAAGGATATTCATGATAAGTTGGTAAGTAACAAATGCAAGTTACAGGATACTTGTAAGAACCTACTTACATAATACATAATAAAAGAATATTATGTACTTGTCATATGTGTGCTTATATATACATTGAGAAAAGATGGAAGATTATTCACTAATAGCATGAACTCTGGGGAATAGGACTGTGGAGGATAGGCTTATTTTTTTTACTGTACATATTTCTATTTTGTAGTTTTATAACACTACTTTTAAAATAATACGTTTAAGAGTTTTGCTCAAAAAGTTCTTAGTTTCAAGGGAAGAAATTAAAGAAATATTACGTACAAAAATTATTGTCAAAGTAACTAGGAAAAAAAAAATCTCAAAATAGTACCCTGCTCAGTGTCACACACAGAAAGAGTTCAGTAAGTTTCAGATGATAAACCGACACTCTTTCTGTCAAAGAGACCCGATTCAAGAGAACCCAAGATCTTACTTATTGTCTGCAAGATCTAGCTGTTACCATCCACATTCTTGATTCCTGAAAGAGACTCATAGATTAGAAATCAGAACTTTTTATTTCATAGCTACAGAGGTTTTTTTTTTCTTAAATTACAGTATACTTATCCATATTATCTTTTCTTGGTTTATTTTTAATAAAAGCAAGAGGGTAATCAATATAAGAATATTTTATAGCATATGTGAAAAACACAAATATTGACATAGTGAGAGTCATACTTTCTACATATATTAAAAAAAAAAACCACACACCTATTTTCCTCTTTTTTCTTTCCTTCTCTCAGGTCCATTGTCCAGTATTAGGCAGACGAGTTCCTTTTCCTGTATTATCTTTAATTTTTGAATCTCAAAACTGGCTAACTATCTCTGGGACCAACAATATGTGAAAACATAAACTGTAAAGAAAGAGGTTACCCTGCAGTTAAATTTTCAGGACTCAGTACTCTGAGATTCAAGATAGAGTTACCTATTCTAATGTAATAGTTTTTTAAAAAAATTATAAAAAGGCAGACAGTTTGGAGGGTCAACTTTTGGTGGACATAGAGTTATACAAGGGACAGAATCAGGTGATAAAGTCCAGAATACCTAGCACTGTTCTGGGCTGATGAGAAAGGGAGAGGCTAGAGAAAGCTGAAGGAGCCCTGGTGGCGCAGTGGTTAAGAGCTCAGCTACTAACCAAAAGGTTGGCAATTCGAATCCACCAGGTGCTCTTTGGAAACTCTATGGGGCAGTTCTACTCAGTCCTATAGGGTCGCTATGAGTCAGAATTGACTAGAGGGCAATGAGTTTTTTTTTTAGAGAAATCTTCCAAAGCTGAATCTCATTACTATGGAAATAACCTTGGAGCGCAGCTACCTGCTTAAACTTGATCTCTAATTGCCAGCTGGCACTGTGTGCTTGTTGATATTCTGTGACCTGGCTACAGACTGGAAGGCTATTTGAGAACAGTCTTAAAACTTCTATGCTGTAAATAAGTTCTCTTTGTATTTACTCTCAGGGAAATGTCTTTTGTCCACCTTTAAAAGGAAAGAACTGAAATAAAATACTTTAAAGATAAATGAACCTTTTAAGTATGTTTGTATAAGCATAGACTTTTTAAGAGGCATGAAATAAAAAATGGATTTGACTATTAAAACTACATTAATTTTCTTGAGAAAATGGAAAGACAAGGTAAAATTAGCCTTGCTCATTCGACTGCTACTAATTCCAAGCCAATATTTTTAATATTAACAGCATGAAAAATGTGAAATAAAGCTTTGAAGCATTAACCCTAAACTTAGATCCACATCATTAGGGTGCGTACATCTCTGGCTGGAGCTCATTTATTCATTACATTTTGGTTTTGTAGCCAACCACTGCTTCAAACTGAATATTCTGGACATGATTCAAAGCTGCCAAGGCACGTTCTGGAAGAAATCTGTGTGAAAAAAGGTACGTTTTCAATTTAAAATCATTGATACTGGAGTCCTTTTTTGTTGTCAGTTAAGGTACTCTGAGTGTTATCTGGCTTGCATTTAATTTTTCTCTGTTCTTTTTTCCTCTGCATCTACCTCTCTCTCTTTCTCTCTGTCCAGTGTCTTTTAATATTCATAGTCCAAATTGTATGGAAATATAAAGAAAGCAGCAATATATATCACTCTTCTAACCTTCTCATCTTATATTAGTAAAAATCCTATATGAGACCTTATATAAGTCAAGATCTAAAATTGAAGGTCTGGGGTCATTGCTGAAACTGCCAATTATTCCTGAAACTACTAGCTTGCAGAGAAACACCACTAGAATCCATTTCATCCACTTTCCATCTCACCTTAAGTATTAACTGAAGATGGATTATGTGCTCTATAAGGAGGTAAACTAAAGTACTTAAAAACTACCTGCTGCCTTTGAGGAGCTTATTGTTTAGCTGAGGGTCTAAGATGGCTGTCTTGAAACAACTAGAGAAAAATATAGGCCACCTATAATTCAGGACTATAAAATGTGAGGAGTGTTAATGTGGGCTGGAATAGAGAAGGAAAGCTTCAAAAGGACAAATGGGTGTTCAGTGATGTAATATCAGAGTAGGCAGATGAAAGGGGGAAAGTATGAGTAAACATAGAGTGGCCGAAATAACACGTTCTGCAAACAAAAATAAAATCACTTTGATATTGTTGCCTAATGCAAGATTTGCTTACCCGTCTTCAGGCAGTGGAAGATGGGAGAATGAGCAAAGACTCAGGGAAGATATGACTGGGAGAGAGACAGGAAGAGAACTTGCTAGCTTTTAACTATACTCGAAAAGAACTCTCCATATACTAATTTAATCTATTAAGCTACAGTGGAAGACTGAAATGGATGCATCAATGGAGTTTGTTCCCTGTTCTCAAATTGTTCCATTCCAAGTTCATGAACAATTTATGTAAAAAAGGCCCAAGGACTTATGAAATTAGTATAGTTATCTGCTCATTGATAAAATCTACATTTATGTCAAACCATTCCTCAGAAGAAAGCTGAGAAATTATCATTTTTTGGGGATAAATAATCCTAATTACTCTTATCATTTCATATAAATTCTACTTCCTAAGCCTCTAATATCTGGCTTCTGTATCTGTTAAAATAAAGATCATAGAACAAATTAATAAACTAGAACTCAGAAAAACAATAGAGGAAAAAAAAAATCAATGAAACTAAAAGCTGGTTCTTTGAGGACAATAAAATTGATAAACCGCTAGCTAGACCGATTGAAAAAAAGAGAGAGAAGACACTGAGTACCAACACCAGGAATGAGAGATTCTAAAGATAATAAAAGGACAATAAGAGAATATTTTGAACAAATTTATGCCAATAAATTTAACAACTTAGATAAAATGGGCAAATTCCTTAAAAGATACATTTCCAAGAAGAAATAAGTAACCTGAATAGCCCTACAGCTATTTAAAAAAACTGAATTTGTAGTCAATAAAACTTTCCCACAAAGAAAACTAAACATCCAGGTGGCTTCATTAGTAAGTTTTACCAAACATTTAGGGAAGAAATAATACCACCCGGCACATAAACTGTTTGAGAAAATTGAGGAGCCGGTATTACTATCTTAGGCTGGATTCTCTAGAGTAGCAAAACCAGTGACGCATGCATATAGAAAGAGAGGTTTCTCTCAAAGAAATGGCTCATGAGGTTGTAGAGGCTGGCAAGTCCCAAGTCCATGGGTCAAGTGTCAGGCTGGAGGCTTCTCATGACTCACATAACTGCGGAGGCTGATGAATCCAAATCAGGTAAGGCGGCAGGCTGCTGGCTTACAGGCTGCAGAAGCCAATGAATTCCAAGATTGGCAGGCAATACAGCAAGCTGCTGGCTCAAATCCCAAGAACCAGAGGTCCAATGATGATGAACCAGATGCAGGATCCAGAGCAAGCAAGAGAGCTTTGCCAGAACATCCGTATATATACTGAATGCAGGCCACACTCCCAAGGAAACTCCCCTTACAACTGATTGGTTCATCACATCAGATCACATCATGGAGGATGACTACATCATAACATAACTACCAAACTACATCATTACACAACATGGCCCAGCCAAGTTGACACATAACCTTAACCATCACAATCCATACTTTGTCAGCTTGGCACCTGTACCCATCTTAAACAATACATAATCTCTAACTAAAGACAATTACAAAGTCATATGCATCTAACATGATACAACTAACAAGTGTACAACTGAAAATGCTCTAGCCCTGTTTACATCTTATATTTTATAAGCAAAGAAAACAAAAATATTCAATGCACACATACAAGGAAGAAATATTCATAACAATTACAGTCCTCATTTCTGTAACTGGTCATGTGGTCATAACTGGTATTTAGAACTACCTTCTTCCACCACTCATTCCATATTCTCTTTTCCCTCAGCAAGCACCTCAGCTGGTCGTGGTTCTTTGCCTGGTAGGGTGATCCAAACCTTCATTCCTGAAGGATCTGGGCCGTTAGTAGTCATGTTGGAACTGAGTTGCTGTAGTTTTCCATGGACTTTAATCACAGGGTATGATAGGTTTAAGAGAAGCCCTAAGGGAGCTCCTGTATTCCAGACATACTGTTTTTTACCTCCATTATGCAACATCAATCTGATTTCCGCTTGGTAGTCAGGGTCAATCACACCTAGCCAATATGGTAACTCCCTTCTTAGACTGTTGATCCAAAAGCATGAGGCGCCCAAAGTGGCTGGGTGGCAGTCTTAACTTCCAGTTCAATGGAATCCGTGTTGTGTCTCCAGGTGGCAGCATTTCTCCCTTTGGAACCAAGACCTCTAGGTCCAAAGAGCATAGGGTCATGGGGACAGGAAGCAAAAATTTTGGGAGTGGGTCACTAGGGGTAATAGTGAGTGGTGCCACTCCCATTTCCACCCCTTGATTCCTGGAACCGTGAATCCTGGCTATGGGAGAAATAGCACCATATATTGGACGTTGGTTGACAGCATATACAGCCTCCTGGAGAACATTGACCCAACCCTGCAAAGTATTGCCACCTAGCTGGTGCCATAATTATATCTTTAGAAGGTTATTCCACTGTTCCATCAAGCCAGCTGCTTCAGTGTGATGGGGAACATGGTAAGACCAATGAATTCCACAAGCAGGGCCCATTGCTGCAATTCATTTGCTGTAAAGTGAGTCCCTTGACCCAAGGTAATGCTATGTGGGACACCATGATGGTGGATAAGGTACTCTACGATTCCACAGATGGTAGTTTGGCAGAAGTATTGTGTGCAGGGAAGGCAAATCTGTATCCAGAATAAGTGTTTATCCTGGTAAGAATGAAACGCCATCCTTTCCATGATGGAAGCGGTCCAATATAATCAAGTGATTGCCTCAAGGAATGGTGCCATATTGGGGACTCAGTGTTGGTCTCTGCTGCTGGCAGATTGGGAACTCAGCGTCAGCCTTGGTGAGTAAAGTCCATGTTGCTGAACTCATGCATAACCTTAATCCCTGCCACCATGACCTTTTGTTCATGAGCCCACTGGGCAATGATGGGAGTGGCTGGGGAAAGAGGATGACTGGTTTCCACAGAAAGCATCA